TAATTTCCTTGTTAAGGCCATTGATGATGGGCCTGAGTTCGGGGTAACCGTGACGGTGGTAGATTCGACGAAGACGTCGGCATTCACGGATCTTATTTAGTGTAGCAGTAGAGGTGGAGTAAGGACGTCCAAGGCGACGAGCGACCTTGGGGACGGCGAGGTCTTGTGCGATAAAAATCGCTTCTGCTACGATGGTTATAGAGTTTTCTAGGAGTGAGAGAGTCCCTAGGGTTAGCGTGTCTGGGAAGAGCGGATCTAGGATTTCGTGAAAGTCCTTTTGATGCAAGGGTTTCTGATAGGGAGTATGAGCTTGTTTATTGCCTGGGTTCCATGTTTCTATCTCGAATATATGGATAATAAATTAATAAGTGTCCGATTTTATTGATTTTTATAATGAGGCAAGGAAAAGCATACGGTGAGGTACTAAACATTCCTGTGAGGAATGATTCCACAGAAAGAGGGAAGTGTACTTTTGTGTACTGTGCGAAAAGCGAGACCCATACCTCCATCTAGTGGGCAAGAGGAGAACTTCAAAATTTCCACAAAATTAACTCCTCCGTGCAAATTGGGCACATTGGATCATCGCGTCAGTCTGATATTGCAAATGGAATGGAATGGCAAAATTTGGAAGCCAATATTGAGCCAATATTTAGACGGTATTGGCAATAATGGCAAGATGCGTGTAGACATTGTGCCCAATGCTGGTCCAGCAATGACTCAATATCTGGTGTTACTGGGGTAGTATCACTAGATAGGTTCTTGGTCGTTTAGCGAAAAAATTTTTTTTTCCCTATTTGGCGATGCATGTTCCATGATACTACCATAAATATTATTTTAAAAAAAAGCGATTTAAGAAGGTATCATAATACCATAAAACTGCTACAATATTCACACAACGTTGGTCTTTGACCTTCAACGTCGATGACCTTGTATTGATTCTGGGGGAACGTTCCCACAATACTACTATGTTTGCTGGGCTGTGTTCGACCGTCTCGGAATTCAATGAACTTTTCTTTAAATTTTCAAGGGACAGTTGGATCCAGCTAATACTTGACAGAGAGGTTCATGAGTCTAAGAGGGAGATTTTTTCACTTCCGCTAGATGGTGCTGTATGCTGATAGAGGGTGTTGTTGTTGACCGGGTGACTGAGGGTAACTGAGACGGTCGAGTACAGGTAATCACCTCACTTGAGGTGGAATGATCCACGACTATGCACCTTTAATTAACCTCTAAATGGGCATTGTACGACTTAGGCAGGGGTGCTGAAAAAAAGTTGGCAAGCATTTCAATACCTTGCAATTGTCAAATATCGATCGCGAAACCAATGTAATTTTTTGCTGTTATTTTGAGCGTTTCTTTGTAATCATCCTATATGCAAACACGAAAGCATCAAAAAGCATCGAAAGCTTTGAAGAACAGACGCATTGTTTTCGGTTTAAATTTGCTCGGTAGCCTTTGCGTCTGCAATGTATGGAATTTTCCTGACTCAGGTCGACTGACTCCGTTTCCTTCGTACCATGACTAACACGACTATTAATGTCTATCGATGTCTATTCTCGTCTACCAGCCTCTTCCCGTTCCAACACTTCTTTCTCCTATGAACTTCGGTCCCTGGATTTGCTACGGAATGGACCACGCTTTCATCATCACGCAGGTAGACTCAAGCTCCTTCTGCAACCTACGTTTTCCTGCAAACCAATACAACGTGCTCGAAAAAATTTTTTGTTGAACCTTGCCCTATGCACTTGTTTAGTCGAACTGGAATTCCTAGAAAAGTCCAGTAGAATGTCATGGCCCTTGCAAGTGAAGGATTGCCGTTTTCCAACATTGCCAATCTCCTGAAGTGCCGCTACGGAGTCATTTTCGTCAAAAAGAGACTTAGATGTCTAGTTGAATTTAAACAATGATGTGAAACAAGCACAGGTGTTTTATGGGAGTTCCCGTGCCCTCAGCAACACCACCCTCACCATCTGAAATTTTCACTAGGAACTTGTATCCAACGTTCAAATCTCGGGAGTTGTCAATTATTACGAACGATGTGCGAAGGAGGCGAACTTTGATATTGTTCATAGATCTCATTTATTCGCTCGTGAAGATACTCCGCAAAGAACATGTCATTCTTCGTGGCACGTAGCCAATAAATTACTATTTCTTGCTCTCAACGAAGAAAGTTATCATCGAAGCCTTTTCTAAACACCGGATGGCCCAGTTAAAACTGCACTTTTTACTCCTATCGATGCATCAGACAGAGGGGGTTCATCAGTGAACACTCTTACGGGAAAAGCGAAGAAGTGGAAATGCAAGCAAATATATATTTTAGGCATGCAATAAAAAAAATTCCAGGATCGAGTAACGGGAAATTCCAACGAAAACTCTGCAATCCCGTTCTGCGCCTCATGGGAGTGGAGTAGACCGAGGAGAAAGAAGGGTGTTCATCGGTGTTCATCCCCCTTCTTGATGCACCAAGGAGGAGGAACGCCTCTTTAGCGCCATGTAAAGGATTCGTGATTCATGTAGAGGAGGAACGTGGAGTAGGTTCAGGAAATAGTGGATAATGATCCTGATGACGATAACAATCCGACCTAAGTCAGTGCAATCTGAAGTCACCTAAATATGTTCATAATCATTATCCCACGCTCTCTGTGCGTGTGGACGGTGTTTTTCATTTGCGCTAAATAGGAGAATATTTGGATCGTTTGCGCTAATGCGTGTCACACACAGGATCTAATAATAACATGAGTTATGCATATACATCAGGAGTAAAACTGTATATACAACAAGCAAGACTCACCTTCAGGTACACCTTCAGATCGCACTTGATGGAAAAACAGCGACAAGAACAGTCGTATTTACATGACAAACTTTTGTCACAATTTGGCAACAAGTCTCTATATTTTCAAATCATTGACCTTTGCACCAGGTAAAGGCTAATAAAGGACCAGAGGAAGGCCTGGAGGCCTTCGATGCAGGACAAGGACTTCAATCCGTAACTTTTAACGACAAAAATTTTTTTCTTCCTCCATTTTCAAAGTTTGACTTTTGTCCAAGAATTTCGGACTTTCGTACCACTGTGCTGCGCCATAAGAGACAGCATCGAGTCAACGTTGAGCGAATGTTGACTTTTCAAATGCTGCCACAACAACCGTAAAAGGTAGATTCAATGTTGCCGCAATGCTGAAATGGAAAGCAGTTAAACGTTGAAAATACGCTCATGAGTCATGTCGTGCCAACGTAGAATTGTCAAAGTCAGAGAATTACATACTCCTTTTCCTGAGCTTGAGTGTGCGCTATTATTTGTTAGAGCTTGAAAATGTTAGAACATTTGAATACTATCATCCCACCGAGGTATCCTTCTGGAGTAGTAACTTCCTCTAAAACTTACTGGATCAGAATCGGAGTTAAGTACTTGGATGACACAACTCATTCTGTCCAGCAAGGGAATTACGTGCCTAACTGCATTACGTGGAAATCGTGAGCAGTCTGGTTTCTCATCGACAGCTTCTGTTGAGAGGCTTTGCATGAATGAATGGCATGGCCCAGGTCAACTGTAGTACCAGACATCACAAGTCCACTTCATGCAAACAACATCCATGTGATGTAACAATGCACAAGATGAACATCCCGAGGCCTCGTTCGAAGACTGATCACCTCCACATTCCCGTTTCCACCGAATGCAACTGAAGATGGATTCTCTTGTGAAGGAGATACATCATTTATGCTCTCTGGTACTCTTGTACTCATCAGAGACATATATGGGTTATTTATCTCGCCAATCCATAGTTATGGAATCTATGAGCATGAAATACAATCCAGATACTCCAGAGGCTCCCCCCACTTGGATTCGTTGGTACCGACTAAACTCTGAACTTAAAAAATCAAATAAATTCATTGAATTTATTTGATTTGAAAAACATTTTTTTCCCCTCCTTCTCCAACCCCCAAGGTGAGGTGAGAAAAAAAAGGTTTTTCTTAACTGAGATAGGATTAATCAAACTTGACAAGCTGATATATCTTGACATTGAAAGGTTGAGTCTCAACTGAGTAGCGATTGTGCGTGCCAATTCCATCGCTGCTTGAAAATTTTACAATAAAAATACTACCCAATTTTTCTCAGGTAAATCTTGATGGTAGTGNTCATTCTGGCCATATGCATTAGTTTCTGCAATAATGTCTGACCTACTGCACCCAGTGTTAGAGGCATAAGCACTGTAACTGCCCTGCATTTGTTATTAACAAGAGAATGGGCAGAGCAACACGGCAAGGGGTAAGGATATACCACTTCAATATTTTGCCTCCCCCCACTAAAAACCAACAGAAAGGGCTATGAAAATCACAAAGGGAGAGAGATATGGAGTGGAATTGAATGCCAAGCCAAGCAAGGTTTTCTGGTCACAGCAGCCGAAAATTGAAAGTGTTAGCATCTGTCTTCCTATCTTGGAAGTCATTTTCCCTTATAAATGTCAATCTACATCAAAACTTTTTCCAATTCATTAAACCTCTCTCTGGCTCTAATGAAACTTCAGTGGTCATAAATATATGACATGGATTTTCCAAACTCACACAAATTACAGTTTCTCTCTAATGAGATACCACAAGTAGAGAGAAATCTTGTATGAAAGAGGACATTTTTCATTTAAAAAGGCATACAAATGAAAAGAATAAAGAAATCATCTGTCTTCACAGGCATAGATGAAAAACCAATCCAAATGATCCTAAAATCAGTACTTGCTATTCTTGCATAACATATCAAACACATCAATTGGTTGGTTGAGCATAGCATGAACATACAAGGTAATAAAAATTGGACATAGCAGGTATCTTTGTATTTCAGTTCATGCAATGGTCCCAAACTAGATGGGAATGTGGTCAGGTGAAAATATGGAAGCAAATGAATGTTTCACTACTGACTGGATTTCAATGACAGGTTCCATGTCTAAAATTCAGTCGAATGCCTCACAGATTCTTCCTTCATCAATGCCATTATCATCAAATTTTTAGCTACATCTGCAGCAAGAATCTCATGCAACACTACAATCTACCAGCTACTACAATATAGATCACAAAAAGGTCTATGTTCGGTCTGTTTACATTGACAGAAGGAAACTTCCCGGGTCTCAGTTGCTTCATAGGTCACAGGTTTTAACTTCGTCTTGTTTTCTGGCTTGGCATGACTTCCATCACAGAAAGGCTGGACAAAAAGGCAAACAGAAAATGCATTACATGCCAATGATATTAGATTACATGAATGAAGGCATGCATGACTATTGGGGCAAATAAAAACTTGGTGAAAAGTCAACAAATTGGAAAGGCAATGCTCAGGTAAATAGAAGTCTTATGGCTATCTCTTACCTGGTTCGCACTATGACCACAGGCACACCATTTGTAGATTTTTCCTGCTTCAATGACACATTTGAAAGGTCTTTTGTCGAAGACCTTCCCCTTCAAGGTCTCAGTAGCAAAATATCTTAATCCATGTGGTCTTGATAACTAAATGGGAAAATGCAAAATGCATGCTTGTCATGGAATCACAAAGAGATACCTTTCCTAGGGTCTCTGCCAATCCGTTTTGTAACTGCTTGGGCTAGCTTTCTAACCTATGTTCTAACTTTCTGGCACCATATTACTTTCATTCATTAACGTATTAACTTCCTAGAGGAAAAATGGGTTTTGGCAGGTTCAAGAGCGGCTCTAATAATTGTCGCCCAAGCGTAAAGTTAGGCCTAGCCCTACGTTTCGCATTCAGTTCTCACCAATGGGTGGAGACGATGGGAAAGATTCGTGTACATGACAGAGATCCACATGTGATTCACAGGAGGAGAAAAGTATGGCAGTACTCGTCAGAACTTCTGGCCCAGAACTGAGAAGCCAAGTAAAGGCGAGAAGGACGAAGGCAGATAACCATAGAGAGCTGGCCTAGCCTATCCTGAAAAACCCGTCACGAGGTTTAGATGCCCTTAGTAGGCAGACATGTTATAGTCTATCCGGTCCAACTTGCTGCGCCGGCGCCTGTTTTATGGTAGCTCATTAATTTTGTGTTGTCACCCGCACGTAAAAACGTCGGAAAGGGGCTCGGAAGCTATCAGTGGTGGACCTAGGTGTTCCTGGCACTCACGAGGCATCAAGATTTCTAAAATCATTCATGTGATGCCTGCCCCCTCCAACCAGGAGCGATAAGCCACTGCCTGGAGGAGGAGTCAAATGGAAATCACCCCTCCCCTCCCATGGGAGAGGAATACAGATGACAATTCATGATGCCTTTGATTAAAAGTGTAACAAGGTTGGACCAGATAGACTATATCCATTCGGCACAACAACGTTGTATCAACATTGAGAATAAGTTGAAACGTTGAGACTTGGTTGAAGTTGAGAATTCGACGAAAAATCAACATCGATGAAATGCTAGCTATTCATAATTAACCGTATTTTCAGCATTTGGTGACTACTCGTGAATTAGGGAAGTCGTTCAGAGGCTATTAGGAGCAAAGCTTTTTTAAAATCGTTTTCTCAATGTTGTTTTTACGTGGAGTTATCCACATCACATCAACAGAAAATAGGTTCTACGGATCGACGCGAGATGGCACCTAACCACCGATTCGGCGATTCTTACCCTGATGCCTAGGAATAAACTGTACCCTGCATTTTTCACACAGTACCCGATTTTTTCCCATTTACAGCATAGGGGAAGGTATAGAAATTCTTAGATAGACATGTTTACAGTTTTTCCCAATTGCTAACGTCCGTTTCTCGAAACTATTCTTCCGTTTTCAAAACTATTTGAACAAATTCCAAAACTCTGCAAACTTTTCACAAAACTTAACATCTGATTTCATTGCTAACCCACGAAAAGCGAAATACGAATTTTATTTTCATATCTTTGCGTACCTTCTTTGAAACCTAACGTACGGAAAAGGATAAGAAGACCGATTCGACGAGTGCGGACGATGGAAGCATGGCTTCTGACAGCAATCTCTATCCTCCAAAATTCCTTCCAACCAATCACAGAGGTTCTCATCGTCTATAGTTGTCAGAGCTGAATGCTCCTTCTCAAACGTTGAAATAGTTTCTTACGTCGATACAACAATGTAGTTGGCAGACAATAATGCAAACTGCTATTCAGAAAAATCCAAAATACCTGATCTTGAGTATTTACTTGCGATTAATTTCTGTTACAATATAATGAGCTAAAAAGGGTTGAAAAGAGAGAAAAGAGATGGTCATTTTGTTTATCATAAGTTACAAAATTGTTATGACCTTGGGACCCATTTTTTTTCGTAGATATGTGTGTTCATTGGGAAAATCTCATGTTATGATCTCCAAATCTTTCCAACTTATGCTCGCTCTATTGGCGCATTGAGGGGTTTTCGACCGGATACAACGCCCTGCACCCTTTTGAATGACGACACAAGTCAAGCGACTTCTCAAAATAACACTAAATAACACTAAAGCTAAATAACAATAAGTCTGACCATATTAGGGTGTGGGAAGATAGTAATGGGCTCGACCGGCAGAAACCGTGATCTGTTATGGAGCAGAAGTGTGCAATTTCCCGTTCATCGAAGGCAAGAGGGGAAGAACGGGAGGGGGGGAGGGGGGAGTTTGTGTGCTTTCAAGCAGCACTTCGTCCATGTATCTCACGCGAAATAATCTCAATGGGCGGTTTGATGATTTTTACAGGAATAAATCTATGCTGGTTTGATCCTGGTTGATCACTGTTGAAACACCCGCCGTTTACACATCCACTCAACAACCGAGCCTAGATTGTATAAATTGTCAGAGTAGAAGTTGAGGACAAGAGTTGAGGACAAGAGTTGAGGACAAGAGTTGAGGACAAGAGTTGAGGACAAGAGTTGAGGACAAGAGTTGAGGACAAGAGTTGAGGACAAGAGTTGAGGACAAGAGTTGAGGACAAGTCCCCATCGTATGATCTGCAAAATTGTAAAAATATTTCATGAACAGCAAATACCACAGAGAAACGGCGTCAGTGTATTGGCACGAGCACATCATCAGCCAAATATAGCGCCATTTATCATATTTAAAATTGTCATACGGCATACGTGCCAAACGTCCTTCACCAAAGCATATTTTCCGATAGAAGATATTGCTGGTGTCCTTTAAAACGAATTTAAGGTACTTGCGTCAAAACTTAACGTCCTTGCCTCAAAAAGTAACGTACGCTCCATTGTTGGGGAGGTTCTGGTCGATTTCACTAGGTACAGCTGACAGGGCGGGCATCGATCCGCGAGACTCGTCGCCTTCCCATTCGCAGTAATGGATCGTCCTCAGAGTTTTGCCGAAGGTGCCTCAAGGTTTTATCTGCAGGTACGTTATAAATTGATCGTAGGACGTTCTGTTTCGACTTTTGGGGAGCGGAAATCGAATCTCGACAATAGTACGCACGGTTTTGGCATGGGTACGTTAAGTTTTGAAAGTCATCATTCATCGAGAAATCGCAGATACGTATATGAGGGCATCGTGCATTACCCTAGCCTGGCCTATAGTTGCGAGAAGCTCGCATAGTTTTCTCGATCCCGTACGTCCAACACGGAGTCTCAATGGTGAAATTGTAGCGGATCATGAAAATACTTGAAATATTAAGCTCGAAAAAAAAGAGAAACCCATGTTTGGACTCCAGAAGTCTTCATGACCTTACGAAAAATACTTCTTCCATGTGAAACCTAGGAATTTTTACCTATCAATTTAAATTGTGTCTATTGGGGCTTACAATTTGTTGTAGTGGATTTATTTTCATTTCCATACTAGAAGCAGTGACATACACGTGTATATTATATCTTCATGGTTCAGGAGAGTTGGAGTTTTTCCCTTAGTAACACATTATCGTCTTTTTATTTTCTTTCTGTATGATTCATAAGCGAGAAATCTATGACACGAAGGAATACTAAAGGTCCCAAACTATGCATTTTATCGCATGACGTTAATTTGAGATTAAAAAATAAGAGAAACCGGCTGAAGGGACTCTTTCTCCTTCTATTCCGGCATACTAAAGAGATATTGTAACTGGAATGCATATTGAGATTAGGGGAATCCTCAGAAGAATTATTTTCACGGTCGCTTCTTCGCTGTCCATAGACGTTCCTAACCCCGTACGTTAGAATATTGAAGAGCGTACTTTGATTTTGACAAATGGACGCCCTTTTGACTGTCGGACGATTGGATGTGAGAAAAGAGCGCTGAGTTTTGCGGATCGTACGTTACGTTTTGAAAAATGTCCATCAAGATATGAAATAGGGCTCTAACAATTGGGAAAAACTGTAAGGAGGTAATCAGGCAGTAGGAGACTCAAAGTACTTCTAGCTAATGGGTCCGAGGAGACACGCTCAATTTTCCTAAATCTCCAAATGGCACACGCACGTACTCAGGTTTATCCATGATGGACAGAGTATGAAAACCATGCCAGCGAGGTTGTTTTCCTCTGCTGAACCGAGAGGATTGAGTCATGTAAGTACTCAATGTGAATTCTGATTCAGTAGAGGAAATAAAACTCTGAGGGTCCTTTACGTGGGATGATTGGACTCTGTAGAGTACTGCTAGTATCATACCACTTGGGGACCATCCATGGAATTATCGAGTCCATATTCAATTTCATTCGATAATCAAAGCCCATTCAGACTCTGGAATAGGGAGGAGGTACTATAATGCCTGTACATTGACAATGCAACGTTGACAACGTCGCACGGCATCAACTTTTCTACGTTGAGCCGTGTTTCATTTCAACATCGTGGCAACATCGTGGCAACATCGTGGCAATATGTTACGTTGAAAAGTAAACCTTTTCTCAACATTGAGGCAACATTGCCATCAACCTTTTTTCAACGTTGTTGTGCCGAATGGGTAGTAACAAACCTGATAAACTCATGGATGTTGTCTGCCACAGTAAAGCAAGCAAATGACAGCGCCTGCGTTCCAGGAATCCAACCAATAACTTCTGATATACTGCCCATTCGGCACAACAACGTTGTGTGAACGTTGAGAAAAGGTTGAAATGAAACACAGCTCAACGTAGAAAAGTTGCTGCTGTGCAACGTTGTGTCAATGTTGAATTGTCAACGTACGGGCATTATAGTACCTCCCTTATCAAGAATCTGAAAGAGCGTTAATTAAAAGACAATGAGATTGAATATACAGTGGTTTCGATAATCCCACGGTGAGTACCTAAGTGGTATGATACAAGCAGTACTCTATTGAGTACAATCATCACATATAAAGGACTCTCCTTTACTTACTCCTTTACTCCTTAAGGAGTTTTATTTCCTTTACTAGATCAGAATTAGAATCGAGTACTTACAGGGTGGCGCAAAAGTTCCTGTCATTTTTTTCAAAGTTCAAATTTTATTTGAAGTATCAACTATTTTCATAAACAACTCAAGAAAGATAATAATCTTGGGAACACAATGAGATCATTTTTGTCCTGAATGACTATTTCTGGCATCGATGCATTGCTTCAATCCCTTCGTGAAATTGTCGATGATTTTCCCCAAGGCCTCCAGGGAAATTTCATCCCATGCCTTATTCAGAGCTCGCTTCAGTGATTCGATTGATTTGTGGGGCTTTGCACAGGTCTTCGACTCCAAGATACCCCAGATCGAGTAGTCCTAAGGATTGAGATCGGCGA